CACCCACGAAAGCTTATGCTCCAATACATCTGTTAGTCTTAAAGGTGCCACAGGACTCTGTTGCTTTTTACAGATCCAGACTAACATGGCTACCCCTCTGATACCATTACACTGCAGAATTTCATTCTTTTGTAGTGTAGCAAAATGACCTGCAAAGTATTTTGAACACTACCTCAGTGAATTATAAAATATTATCTGTGCATAAAACCCCCAAAATGTATTAAGAGTCTGAAAAAATTATAAACTCTTACAGTGAAATCCTTGCCCTGTTAAGTCTATGGCAAAACTCCCATTTACTTCAACACGAACAGTAGTTCACCCCTAAACTAAACTGAAAAGATTCTGTAACACATGTTTCTAAAAGTCTTAGTGACAATATTAAACTAATATATGGAACAAAAAGGCTGTACATTGTAAAAGTAAAGTAGTGAATGTGGGCCAAACTTACAGTATACGACCTTCAGTCTAAGCATATAACTATCAATTTACCACAGTAAAAAGCTGTACCAGACTGAACCATGGCGTTTTAAGTCAGTCACTGATGAAAAAGAACAATCTTGGCACTATGGCTTTTTTTTATGGCTTTAGTTTTAGAAACTACTCTTAAAATTTGAAAACTAATGTTTGTTTTTTGTCTTTTAGGGATCCGGAAGGGTTACGAGTGTTTTACTATCTGGTGCAGGACCTTAAGTGTCTAGTCTTCAGTCTCATTGGATTACATTTCAAGATTAAGCCAATTTAAATTGTATAATTTTGAGTTTGTATTGTAATGTTGCAAGGGGTGGGACACTTTCATTCCTTATCTCTTCTTGGATAGAACTTTTATGTATGTTTAGAATTTTTTTTTACAAACTGTAAGTGAATGTCTTTAATAAAAATGGTGAAACCTGTATTTTTTAATTTAAAAGTTGTCCATGTAATCGAGGTCTCAATCTCTGAACACCGTTTACTTTCATTACTGTATATCCAAGATGAGTGGCTTTGAGTTCCTGTAGATCAGTTCAATATCTAGTTTTAGAAAAAAGAATATTTTAACTGTTCTATCCATATAGCACTCCGGGGCAGAACAAATGAAGTTCTGTAGATCCCTGGAATTAAAACGCTTGTCAGACCTCTTAAGATAAGTTTGTGTCCCAATCTTTAAATGGATGCTTTGAACATCAGTTAATGATCAGATAAGAACCGAAGCCCTGGTTCTGTGCTGGCTTTGTTTTAGCTGTCTCGGTGATTGACACGCTATTAAAACTGACAGTTTTTCCTGATACCTGCTCTTATTCCTCTGAATGGAAGCTTTACAAGATTATTTGCTTTTTACATGAAGGATTGATAATCTATTTCTTAAATATGGATCAATCTTCTTTTCTGTATTGTTCAAATTCTTATCATTATCTTAAAAATATTTTTAAAATACTCTTATATACCCCGTAAGTCTGCAAAATTCATTTGCTAAGGATATAATTGTAAACACGTGACACAGTAGCCCACTTTGAGGTAACTTTGGCCATGCAAACAAAGTATATTTTAGGCAAATTATAATATGACCATACATGTGGGGAATATAAATGTTTGTCTAGTTACATCAAGTATTTTAGGTTGAAAATGTGACCATCTTTACATCTGTTTCTCAGGTGGTAAATCAGCTGCATGTATTTAAAAACTATCCTTTTTAAAAATATATTTGAAATCTATGTAAACATTAAGATGGCCTACTGTGTAAAGAAGGG